GAGACAGAGAGACAGAGAGAGAGACAGAGAGAGACAGAGAGATACTGACAAGGGGGCAACAACACCATGGGCCTCAGTTTCTTTATTTATAAAATGAGGGGGCTGAATTAGATCCCTTTTAAGGTCCCTTCCAGCTCTAGTATTTTATTATGTAATAATTTACAGGGCCAAACTCATCCAGAGGTTTAAAATCAAAAAGTCTGTCACTTACTGTGCATAGTAATATGTTTACGATTTGCTTACAGTTTGCCCACCCAAACTGTGCAATCTATTCTCAGAATATTTTCTGGTGAAAAGAGAAAATCGTAAGCATGTTTTTATTTGCAGGGAACTGGTGGGAATAGCACACCAATTATAGGAAAAAACAAGTAAATTCAGCTACATGGGATTTTAGCCAGCAAACATTTCATTCATAAATCAGGTTATAGTAGTGGTTTGCATATGACAAGGATTATAGATTTTTGATCTGGGAGGGATCTTAGGAGTTTTTAAGTTCAGCCCTGTCCTTTAACAGATAAGGAAACTGAAGCCCAGAAAGATTATGACTTGTAATGTCACATAGACAGCAAGAAGAAGAGCCTAATCTCTGTCTTCTGACTCAAAACTAGGGCTCTTTATACTAGAATATGCCACCTCCACCTTGCCAGATATGGGAAAACTACTTAATGGGCTACTGTGAGCTTTCTTTTCTTCTGTGAAATGGAAATAATATTTGCACTTTCTTACCTGGTGACTGTGGTGGAAGTGAGTTGTAAAACCATAAAATTATATATAGCAATGTACGGTATTATTATTATTATTATCATTATAACTCCTTCATTCACTTTGTATCACTTTATATCAAAAATTTGTGGTGGGGGTGGGAGATAGTTTGAGAGAGTGAAAGGATGAAGGCTGAAGAAAAACCCCATTTTTTTCCCAACCTGGGATTTCCATTGGCATTGGCATATATTCATATATTCATTAGTCAAAAGTATTCAGGAAGAAGCTTGTTGGGATATCAGAGAAGTGATTCATACTTCAAGTAAGAGTTGGGCTAGAAGACTTCTAAAATTCCTCCTATCTCTGAGTTTCTGTGGTTCCAGTGAAGAGTACGTCTGTGTTCAAATCCATACTTTCAAGATGCCATTGTATGAACCTAAGATGTAGAACATAATATTTGTTCTGTGGAATCTTATGACTCCATTTTCAAATCTCAAGGTATTAAGTAGACTAGCTCTGAAAATCTAGTGTAGACAGTCTTGTTTCAGACCTTTTCCCAGCATCTTGGTCTTGGATCCCAAATGGACCCCATTAAGTGAGCTAGAATGCTTCTTGAGAAGTTAGAGATGGAGTGTTAACCGCTCCCAGAGAAATTAGATGTTATTAATGGGGAATTTTTGTCTGAATCTGAAATGCTGGATACAGGAAGTTGTAGTCTATAACTCTTAGAATTAAGCTTCTGCGCTGCTCCAATCCTGGTAAAGCAAACAGAGAGTATATTGGTATGGACTTCTTGTTTTCTAAATCTGAGGCTCCAGAGGCTTTTAAGAGGACCCATTTCTTGATGAATTTCTATTTTGAGGGCCGTAGATCATTGGGCTGGCAATATTTCATGGGGAAATCCTCTGAGATTCCAAAGTGGTACTCTTGATTTGATCTCCCCATCAGGAGGATGTTAACCCCAAGAGGAGTTAAAGTTGTTTGTTTCAAAATGTGGCAGAAGAACATTTCCTTTAGTTTACTCACCTCAGACAGGAAAAGTTTCCTTGGTATCTCAGGCTTTTGGGAGGGATATAGCAAGGATAATAGTCTGTGGCTCTTGGTGCTAGCCTTGGCCGCTGTGGTCAGCAGGGTGAGAAGTCGGGTGGCCTCAGAAACCTCACATAAAAGGACTACGTTGGAACCCTCTTTCTGGGTGCTGAAGATGGTCTGGTGTTCGCATTGCAGGGTATAGGTGCAGATGGTGTGAAGTCTGTGCGCTTGCGCAAGAGTGAATGCTTCTCAAGGGAGGGACCGAGTGCTGGGAGGTGTGCACCAAAAAGGTCGCCTCAGGCTTAGTAAGAGATCCTAGGCGGTTTGCAAGCTTCTAGTCTAATTAAGAACAAATCTGGTGCGTTGTCCATTCGAAAGAGAGGGTTTCTAGGGACAATGATGTTTACAATTGAAACGAATCTTTAGGTAAGCCTGGCACATCTGTGTATAAACAGTGAAATCTGGAGGCTTTGCATTCTGCAAGCTAATGAGAGAAAGCTCTGCCAAATGATGGGTTCCTTTTCTGATTTAAACATCTAGCTTTACACCCCCTTGGTTCTCTCCCTTCACCCTCCCCCTTCCCCCCGCCCCAGATTGTGCATCTTGTCCTTGAAAGCTTTGGTACTATCTCTAACGCCTTTAGAAGGAGATCCGGTTTCCGCTACTGCCTCCTGTTACGACAAACGTGTTCTGCATTAACTTAATTGGCTAAGTTAACATGTGTGCCTCCCCTGCACAGAAATTGGCACTTTTTTCGGAAAAAAAAAATACTAAAGCGCGCCGGTTGCAGGTGTTATAGGGGGCATCTGATTAACTGTGGTTCTAATGCAGTCAGGTTGAGAAAAGCTACCCTTAAAAAACCTTGAGATTGAATGCCATCGAATCAGTCTGAGTGGTCACTGGGGACTCAGTGGCTCGGGTGGAGTCCAAGGAAAGGCTTTGAGTGTCACAGAAATGCATATATATTGCCTGAGTGTCCAGAGAAGGACTAACCGGTGAAAAGAAACGCTGTTGAGCAAAAGGGAGGAGGAAAAACGGAGTTTTTACAATGCTGCGACGCATTAACCCTACCGCGCTCTTGGCTTCCTTTGCTCTGCCTATTGGCTGAGCCCGGGCGGCGCTGTCTGCCAATCGGGTGCTGAAAGGCGGACAAATCGACCCCGCCACCCGAGAAAGCGGCGGGTAACCCTTGAAGCGCCGGCCGAACCGCGCCGGAGGTGGCGCGGGGAAAGCTAAGCAGGTGTCTTTGGTTGCGGTGGCCTTTTGTCTCGGGGTCGGCTTTTCTCGATCCTTAAGTCCATCCTGGCGCAAAGCATTTCTGGAGGAGATGCGCCACGGGGTTAAGATCTGGGCTGGAATCCGGCCGGGGGCTTGCCTTTTGTTCTTTTGCCAGCTAGGTTACGTTTCCGGGCAGATCCGCTACCCAGTCCCAGAGGAATCGAAGGAAGGGACCTTTGTGGGGAACATCGCCCAGGATTTCTTGCTGGATGCAGAAAGCCTGTCGGCTCGCCGGCTGCAGGTCGCTGGCGAGGCGAACCAGAGGTACTTCCGCGTGGATCTGGACAGCGGAGCCCTGCTTGTCAAAGATCCCATCGATCGAGAGGCGCTGTGCGGGCTCAGTGCCAGTTGCGTTGTGCCGCTGGAGTTTGTGACTGAGGGACCCTTGGAGATGTACCGGGCAGAGGTGGAGATAGTAGATGTGAATGACCATTCTCCTCGATTCCCTAGACAGCACCTAAACTTGGAGATTGGGGAGGCGGCACCCCCAGGGCAGCGCTTCCCCCTTGAGAAGGCTCAGGACGCCGACGTGGGGAGTAACTCCATCAGCAGCTACAGGCTGAGCCCTAATGACTACTTCGCCCTAGACGTCAAAAAACGCAGCGACGGCAGTCTTGTCCCAGAGCTGCTTCTGGAAAAACCCTTGGACCGGGAGAAGCAAGCAAACTACCGTCTGGTGCTGACTGCCGTCGATGGGGGCAGTCCTCCAAGGTCAGGCACCGCGGAACTCAAGGTATCTGTACTGGACGTAAATGACAACGCCCCAGCTTTTGAGCAGTCTTCTTACAGAATTAGTGTGCTTGAGAGTGCACCAGCGGGCACTTTACTCATCCAGCTGAATGCCACTGACCCCGACCAGGGTTCCAGCGGCAACATCACCTTTTTCTTCAGCAACCACACTCCAGAACGTGTGCGCTCCCTCTTTGGCCTGCACTCTACCACAGGGCAAATCACGCTTCAGGGTCCTCTGGATTTTGAGGCTGACAACTACTATGAATTTGACGTGAGGGCTAGGGATGGGGGGACGCCGGCCATGGAGCAGCACTGCAGTCTCCGAGTGGACGTATTGGATGTGAATGACAATGCCCCGCAGATCACGCTAACCTCGGAGCTGGGTACCCTTCGGGAGAGTGCTGAACCCGGCACCGTGGTGGCACTCATTAGCGTACAAGACCCGGATTCTGGGCCTAATGGCGATGTGAGCCTCCGTATCCCCGAGCACCTGCCCTTTGCTCTCAAGTCTGCGTTCAAGAACCAGTTCTCCCTCGTGACAGCTGCTGCCCTGGACCGAGAGGTGGAATCCAAGTATGAGATTCCGGTTACCGCCTCTGATGCAGGCTCTCCGCCCCTGAGCACCCGCAGGACGATTTTCCTCAATGTTTCCGACGTGAATGATAACCCACCTTCCTTCATCCAGAGGTCCCACGAGGTCTTCGTTCAGGAGAACAACCGTCCTGGGGATCTTCTCTGCTCTCTGGCAGCCTCGGATCCAGACTCAGGTTTGAACGCACTCATCTCTTATTCCCTTCTAGAGCCCAGAGGTCGGGATGTCTTGGCTTCTTCCTTCATCTCCCTCAATCCCCAGACTGGAGCAGTCCATGCCACCAGGTCCTTCGACTATGAGCAAACTCAGACATTGCAGTTCGAGGTACAGGCCCGGGATCGGGGTGACCCACCCCTCAGCAGCACGGTGACAGTTCGCCTCTTCGTGCTAGATCTCAATGACAATGCACCTGCGGTACTCCGTCCCAGGGCTAGGCCAGGCTCTCTGTGCCCACAGGCACTGCCTCCATCAGTGGGCGCCGGCCACCTTGTAACCAAGGTGACTGCGGTGGACTTGGATTCAGGATATAATGCCTGGGTCTCCTATCAACTTCTCGAAGCCCCGGATCCTAGCCTATTTGCTGTGTCTCGCTATGCAGGCGAGATTCGGACAGCAGTCCCCATTCCAGCTGACCTTCCGCCCCAGAAGCTAGTTATCGTGGTGAAGGACAATGGAAGTCCCCCACTCTCCACCTCGGTGACACTGCTGGTGTCTCTAGAGGAAGATTCACACCCAGCTCTTCCCGACCTCCGGGAGCACTCAGCGAAGCCCCAAGGGGAGTCTCGCCTGACCCTCTACCTTGCCGTATCCCTGGTGGCCATCTGCTTTGTCTCCTTCGGCTCTTTTGTGGCATTGCTCTCCAAGTGCCTGCGAGGTACCGCCTGCGGCCTGAGATGCCTTGGCGGGACCTGCTCCTGTCTCAGTCGGTCGCGAAGGAGGGAGGGGCTCCCGCCCTCCAATGGCATCCTCCGCATTCAGTTGGGTTCGGAAGATCCCATCAAATTTGTGGACGTGGGCGGTCACTCTCATGGTTGCACACCCTTGGCTTCAGCACCCTCTCGGAGCGATAGCTTCATGATGGTGAAATCACCGAGTGCACCTCTGGCAGGGGAGCCTGTCCGCCCAAGCTGTCCACCTTCCGATCTGCTCTACGGCCTGGAGGTGAGACCCGCAGCCATGCTGCCCCTAGATCGGGCAGCGCCTTTGGGCTGGCCTGGCTCCACGCATGGGGCTCCGAGGCAGTCCAGCGAGGATCTGACCCCCATCGCCAGGGCCAATGATGATGAGTCACCATTTTCAGAGCACTAGCAATGGGGTAGGCCCTGTGCTTTAGATGCTTTTTACAACATATCCAGTGAGTTTTGTGGAGTTAGCGCTGGGGAGTGAGCTGAACCAGTATCGGAAAGCAGGAGATGAAGGTAATTGGTGAGCAAGAAAGATATAGTGGGCTGTGTCTGCACCAGGTCTGGCAAGCGGGAGCAAACCGTGATCCATAAGCCGTAGTTTGGAAAGCAGCAGGTGAGGCCAATACTGCAGCAGGTGAGGCCAACACTGCAACAAGTCTTCCCAATCCTTTCCCTTTCTGAATGGAGGTGGGCCTTTCTGTGGTTACTTTGCTCCAAGCAGGGAGGCATAGACAAGTTGGTGGGGGTGGGGAGTGGGAGGGTGATTCGCACCTTTTGTTGGGGGTACCTAGGACTTCCAAAACTCCTTCCTGTATCTAGAAAAACTAAGGTCTCCTGAAGGGAAGAGGGGCCGGATAAAGAAGCATCGAGGGGTGGGGATGGGGGGTGGCTATGTTGGAAAGTACTGGGGTAAATATGGGAGTGACAGGCCGAGGTTCCCCTCTTCCGAAGCCCCAGTAAGTGCGGCCACCTGGCCTGGTTAGGAGCCGCCGCATTTTATTATCCAAGGGTTGCAGGGATCCCAAACACTGAAGCCCAACGGCTGTAATAGATGAACTGGAATTATGGGTTTACTTGTCTGGGGTGGGGAACAAAACTGTAGCATCCCTTGGAGTATCCCCGGAGATGGGCCTGGAGGTGCTTGGCCAGAGTCTGAAGCCAGGGGACAGCAAGGCCCAGCTGGATCTTTAGGCTGTTTCCTGGGAGGTGAGGAGCAGCTCTGGGAAGATGTCTCCCTACTTCGAGAGCTCTAAGCTCAGCATGTGCAATCCACAGCCCATGGTGAGCTGTGAAAGGCTGAGGAGGCCCAGCTGGCCTATGCTGGGACTTTGTTAAAAGCTTATGTCTGAGTGAGGTCGTTTGTTGTTGGGAATATGCCTGTGTGTCCGAGTCTGAACAAACCTCTTTTCATGCAGCCCCAGCAGCGGGCTCAGCTGGGAGACCCGGGTTTCGCCTTCCGTACAAAGGCAAGTTTTGTATCTGGTTCAGGCGAAGCTGTCGAAGCTTCTGAAATCCCGCACGAAGTCTCTGAAGCGGAACAATGAGGAGTTTTGTAATCACTTTTGCTTCCAAACCCGCGGCTTCACAGCAAGCACCATCTGAGCTGTCAAACTTCTCTGCCAAGGGGGCTGAATCAACCTGGTGCATTCAGCTCAGGGGCGAGTGGGAGGCTTCTGAGACTTGGGCTGTTCCTAAGGTTTCAAGGACTCGGGAGTCTTCGTCATTGGCCCGAAGAGGCGGAGTTCTCAGCCAATCAGACGTGGAGCTAGGTTGGGGGATCTGCTAGTTATCTTCTAGCTCTCTTCCCTCGCCCCCTCCAGCTCTGATTCAGTTCCCCTCCCCTTCTCACGCCTCTCCCCCTACTCCCCACCCCCGCCACTCGGTGACTAAGGAGAGCTGCCGCAGGCAGGCAAGCCCTGGAGCAGTTTTAAAAGCCTCTGGAAGAAACTGCAAGGATTAGAGCAGCTCTGATCCAAGGCCCTAGGTCCCCTGGGAGACCGGACAGCACCAGAGTGGCCGTCATTGAGGGAGTGCTTGAGCATGGGGCCCCAGGTGCCCCCGCAGCTGGCTTGGAAATGGCAAGTACTGTACATGTTGTCCTTGTCTGGCTGGGGCTGGGTGTCTGGGCAGCTCCGATACTCGGTGGTGGAGGAGTCCGAGCTGGGGACACTGGTGGGAAATGTGGCTCTGGACCTGGGTTTGAAGATGACAGAACTGGAGAGCCGCCGGTTTCGATTGGGATCCGAGGAAAGCCGCCGCTATTTTGCCCTGAATCTGGCCAGCGGCGCCCTGGTGGTCAACCAGAAGATCGACCGTGAGAGCCTGTGCGGAGCCAGCGCAGGTTGCCTGCTGCCAGTGCAGGTGGTTACTGAGCACCCCCTGGAGCTGTTCCGTGTGGAGGTGGAAATCTTAGACCTCAATGATAACTCCCCCAGCTTCAGCACCCCAGAGAGAGAGGTGAGAATCTCCGAATCAGCTGCTCCAGGGGCGAGATTTCCTCTGGACAGTGCCCAAGATCCCGATGTGGGCACCAACACTGTGAGCTCCTATATGCTCAGTCCTAGTCTCCATTTCTCCCTGGATGTGAAGACCCTGAAAGATGGGAGGTTGTTCCCCGAACTGGTGCTGGAGCGACCCCTGGACAGAGAGGAGCAAGCGAACCACCAGCTGGTGCTCACTGCAGTGGATGGGGGCACTCCGGCCCTTTCAGGCACTGCTCGAGTTTCCATCACTGTTTTGGACATTAATGACAATGCACCGGTCTTCGAGCCCTCACTGCTAAGGGTGACTCTCCCCGAAAACACGCCCCCGGGTAAGCTACTAGTTCGCCTCAACGCCACCGATGCTGACTCGGGTCCCAACGGCCTGCTGGAGTATTCTTTTGGGGACCACACATCAGAAGTGGCTCGGGGGCTCTTCAGCCTGGATTCCCAGAGTGGTGAGATCCGAGTACTGGGCCCAGTGGACTTCGAGGAATCGAGTTTCTATGAACTCCACGTGCGGGCCCGGGACCAAGGCCAGCCCTCCATGGAGGGCCACAGCGTGGTGCAGGTAGAGGTAGAGGATGCCAACGACAATGCCCCTGAGGTACTGCTCACTTCCTTGGTAAACCCAGTGCCCGAGGATACACCTGTGGGTACTGTGGTGGGACTGTTCAATGTGAGGGACCGAGATTCAGGTGTGAATAGACGGTTGACCCTGGTAATCTCTCCTAATCTGCCTTTCCAGATTAAGCCCTTTGAGAATCATTATTCATTGCTGACCAGCGAAAGGCTGGACCGGGAGGCCACTGCTCATTACACCATCGAGCTGCTGGCCCGAGACACAGGCTCGCCTCCGCTGCAAACTAGCCTAACCATCCTACTTAACATCTCCGACGTCAATGACAATGCGCCTCACTTTTCACAGCAGCTCTACAGCGCCTACATTTCAGAGAACCGGCCTCCAGGCTCACTGCTCTGCACAGTAGCAGCCTCAGACCCCGACGCCGGTGACAACGCCCGCCTCAGCTACTCCATAGTAGGGACTCAGATCCAGGGCGCCCCAGCTTCCTCCTTCATCTACATTAATCCCGAAGATGGACGGGTATTCGCCCAGCGTACTTTCGACTATGAACTACTACAGGTGCTCCAGATTACTGTAGGGGTGAGGGACGGGGGTTACCCGGCCCTGCGTGCCAATGCCACTCTGCACGTGTTTGTCCTAGATCAGAACGACAACTCGCCAACAGTGTTGCATCCTCGTCCAGGCCGAGAGGCCACCTCCCCTCAGAGGCTTCGGCGTTCGGCTCCCCCAGGTTCCCTGGTCACCAAGGTTACGGCAGTGGACGCTGACTCAGGCCACAATGCCTGGCTCTCCTACTCGCTGTTGCCTCAGTCGACAACCCCAGGCCTTTTCCAGGTGTCAGCTCACAGCGGGGAGGTCCGCACAGCCCGGGCCCTGCAGGAGGGAGACTCTGATACGCAGCTGGTCGTGGTCTTGGTGAGGGACAACGGCGAGCCCGCGCTTTCCTCCACTGCCACCGTGCTTCTGGTCCTGCAGGACGAGGACGCTGAGGAACTGCCCCAATCCAGCGACTTCCTCACGCACCCACAGGAGCGCTCCAATCTCACCCTCTACCTTATTGTAGCATTAGCCTCTGTCAGCCTCCTTTCCCTAGTCTCTTTCACCTTTTTGTTAGCTAAGTGTCTGAGGAGAGGAGAGGATGGAGAAAGTTGCTGTGGGCGCCAGGACTCTCCCTCGAGAGATTTTTATAAGCAATCTAGTCCCAATGTGCAGCTGAGCTCGGACGGCACTCTAAAGTACATGGAGGTAACTTTGCGGCCGGCTCACTCACAGAGCCACTGCTACAGGACTTGCTTCTCTCCGGCCTCAGACGGAAGCGACTTCACCTTCCTAAGGCCGCTCAGTGCCCAACAGCCTTCGGCTTTGGCCTTGGAGCCTGACGCCTGCCTGTCTCGCTCCAATACACTGAAGGAGCGGAGCCAGGTGAGCTGCTCCGCCCTCCTTGCCTTCGACCCTGCGAAAGTCTGTAGAACTACCTTAACTTAGGGAATCGATGGAGGGTAGACCTCACCTGATACTTCTTCCCCCCCCCCCCACTTTAATCTTGCCTTCTTACAGAGGGTACATTTACTCCCAACGATCAAGTAGCCATTTTTGAAGAAACTGAGTTAGCTCACCTCTAATGGAAATGAGGGAGAGATTGGAGGGTGGGGAATAACGGTAAGAAGAGAGAGACTAGGAGAACCCCTCATTTCCACCCCACCCCACCCCCCAATGCCCACACTTTGGGAAAAGGTTGGGTCAGGGCTTTGAACCTCTTTGGGGACAAAACAGGGATAAGACCTCTTGGCCCCACTGTCACTGAGAAAACACCAGAAGCTTTGGGGGATTCTTCAAATCCACACTTCCGACAAACTCAAAGGGCACACTTTTTGGTATTCAAGGCTTGTAAATTACCGGCAATTTCTGATCCTCCGTGGGGACAGGAAATTGCCCAGAAGGGTTGCCTTTCCCATCTCCTTTTCCCTGTCTTTCACATTTACATACTCCTATTGGTCCATGCGTTTCACACAATCATATATATGTATGTATGTACATATGTGTGTATGTGTGTGTACACACACTCCAACTGTGCCACAAATACAATTCACACCAGACACATTAACATGTATACACAGACACACTAACACAGAAACACAAACACGCTAACATACACACATAGAATTCACACAGGCACACAACACAGAACTTCCTCATACACACAAGGTTCTCTCTCTCACAGGACAGGTTACATATTCTGTGTGGGTTTCTGTGTGCCTGTGTGTTTCTCTCTATCTCAGTCTCTCTCCTCTCCCTCTCCCTTTTACTCTCTCCCTTCCTCTACTGCTCCTTTTCCCTCTCCTCTCCCTCTTCCTCTCTCCCTTCATCTGTCTCTCTCCCTTTTCTCTCTTCCCACCTCACATATACACAATACCCAGGTTTAGTCCTACTTCTTGCTACCTGTATTGAGTCCCTAGGGGAAGGCAAGGATTGATATGCAGAAATTCTAAAATAGGGGCTCTTAACTTGGAATCCATGGACCCTCAAAGGGGTCTGTGGATAGATTACAGGGTACCTATGAACTTGGATGGGTAAAAACTGCATCTTTATTACAACATAATTGGACTCTTTGTAATACTATGTATTTTATTTTATTTATTTAAAAACATTATTATGAAGGGGATATATAGGTTTAGCCAGACTTCTGAAGTGGTCTAGGACACACAAAAAAGGTTAAGAATTCCTACTTTAAAGCCCTTTTAGTATGTCTGAAGGAACTCCCAAAGATACAGCTGTTTGTTTCCCAAGTAACTTGGGACTCAGAGATTTCATGCCTAGTCAAATGAGCCAAGGTCTCCCAAAAAAACAAAACTAGGACAGGCTCTGGAAAGTGGGCAAGGGACAATGGAGTAACTTCTAAATGAGATTGGTGGAGTCCTGGGCTAATGCAGATGTGACAATTTGAAAGAGGCATCACCCTGTAAAGAAAAGGTCCTGGTATGAGAAACACTGGTGCTACTATTCAATATTCAGGATATCAGGTGAGTTGAGCTAAGGAGTCTCAGAAGTTCTGAGGTGGTAAGGGTACCCCCATCTCTCAAAGCACTTTAAGATCGAATGATAGACATTTGCTCTGTCTTTGTCAGGGTCACACACATTCACCAAAGCTGGCTGTGACTAGGTGGACACCTGGGTGAAGCAGCAACTTGTGGGACCTCAGGTAGAACTGGGAGGAGGGGAGGAGTAGGGGCTGGTTCTAGGGCTCCTCAGGCAGCTCTCCTTTCTGAAGGGGAAAGCCTTAGATGGGGCCCCTATCATTGGAAATGCCTATATGGCCTTTTGGTGTTTGATAGATACCTCTGATAATAGCTTTCCATTTGTGATAAAATAGATATGATCCATAGAACCATAAGATTTCAGAACTGGGAGGGATATTAGAGATCCTAGGGGCTAATCCTCTTTTCCAGATGAAGAAATTGAGAGCCAGAGAGGAAAAATGAGTTGTCCAAGGTCACACAGCTAGTAGCAGAGACAAGAGGGGAGCCCTAGTCTCCTCATTCTCTGTAGTTTTGAACTAGACTCTTCATCATATTTAGGCTGAGGGATTTGCCAACTCCCTACCATCACCACACATCCCTCAGAAAGGTAATGGAGCTTTCATCATAAAATAGGGGGATTCCCCCTGGGCCTAGGTTTGGGATTCCAAGTTCTTAGTTCAGCTACCAGCTCTTCTCAGTTGTTTACCCTGCATTCAAGGGTGAATCACTTCCCAGTTCTGGCATTCCTTTTTTTTCTGGAGAAATATGTTCGAGAGAGCATGCATATTACATACTACACATACTAGTTACATCCTCTTGGGCAAGATACTTAACTCCTCGGAGTTTCTCTTTCCTCATCTGTACATTACTTCTCTATTTGGATGGATTGTATCAATTCAGGTGTTTCCTACAACAGTACAGATGGAAACCTGCTTATCCTTTCTCATTCGGTGCAACTCTCTTCTATGTCTCTCTTCAGTGTCTCTCTTCTTCTACAAATACCTTTCAGCTTCTCCATTCAATATACTGGGAACCTTCCTTTAGATCAGGGATAATTTAAAACTGGAATCTATGGTCTCCTTCCACAAAGGGTTCTGTGGGATAGATTTCAGGGGGTCAGGACCTTGGATGGAAAAATTACACTTTTATTTTTATTAACCTATCAATAACATTTAGCATTTTCTTTAATGATGATTTTTTTTAAACAGCATTCTGGGAAGGGAGTCTATAGCCCTCCCCAGACTGCCAATGGGGTCCAGGATATACACACAAAAAAGGTTAGGAACTCCTGCTCCAGATCTCTTGGCATTTGGGGGGCACCAGCACAAAACATTTGCTAATCCTTATCTTTCTTCACAACTAGCCAACTTCCTTTCCTGAATGTATCTGCAAAATTGAGATAATAATACCTGTACTGTCTATGTAGAGTTGTCAGAATCAGATGAGAAAATGTAAATGAAGTGCTTTATAAATTTTGAAGTGCTATTATAAGGTGAAGCTGTTATTATGGTAATGACATATTCCTTGCAAGTTTTCCACATAAAGAGGTAAGAGGGTGGGACAGGACCATAGAGATCGAGGAGGTGGATAATAGCTCAATCTCCCATTCCATCTTCGATGAATCCCCTGAGTCCTATAGCTGCAAATAGCAGTCATCATGAATGTGGGGTTGAGGGGAAAGAGGAAGAGGGAGGGGAGATGGGCTTGAGTCTTGTGAAAGTTGATTTCCTGGAGGTCATAGTCCCAGTGGCCCACGCCACTCAGGACAGAGCATCCTTGTTCTCTCTGTATCCATTGCAGCAAAGTAGCCATTGTCCAGCAGGGTGGAGTATGTGGGTAGGAGGTCCCCTTGGCCCCGGGGGTGTCTTTACAAAACTAAATCTTTGGCTTGTCTCCTAAATTAACAATGTGTTTGGCAAGGGGAGATATGCATCTGAACAAGGAACAACAGAACCTGGTATCTGAAAGTGTTTAAAGGAGAAGATGTTGAAGTATTGAGGCTGACAGTTAGGATCTTCTTTACTCTGCATACAGTGCTCTCCATTTCCTTCCACAGAAAAAAGCAGGATCCTCTGGCTTGCTGCTTCTCTGAACCAAATAACATTTTCAAATCTTCTCTGGTGGTTCTGTTTTTGTTGTGTGGTGCAGAAACAGGGGCTTGGAAGGACAGAAGGAGGGGGATGGGTTTATTCTTTAAGAAAGATTTCTTTCCTTGCTCAATATATCTTGTCCCTTTCACCTTTAGTCTCAGCATCCCAGTATTTATTTGGCTTTGGGAACATTAATTCTCTTAATCCCCAGTTTTCCCCCCCTAGTTCTCTCATTCCCTCTGATTTCCTCTGATCCCCTTCCTTCCTCAGGAGCTCCTTTGCTCCCATCCTCCCTGTGCTTGTTTCCTCTAGCCCCTCTCTTTCACTGCCTAGTGCCTGAGGCTGGCCAGTGAATCTCTTCAGCCTTATTCAAATACATCTCTTTTTGTTTCCTCTGCAGCAAGCCCCGCCCAACACGGACTGGCGTTTCTCTCAGGCCCAGAGACCTGGCACCAGCGGGTAGGTGATTCTACCATTCTTCCTTTCCTCTAAAAAAAGTCTTCCCTTGAAATGTGGGAAGGGTGAAGCCTAAGGTTTGGGGCAAAATACAAATACTTCTCCCTCTCCCCTCTACCCCCTCCCCCAGCTACACACACATACACACTGTTGATTTCAGGAGAATCCTGGGATCCCAACATCTGTTTGGGACAAATAGCTCCTGAACCCAGAGGGAGGAGAGACCTGCCTGGACCCTTTTAAACTATCTCTTTTTTTTTTTTAACATTAATTCCTCCTTCCATTTTCTCAGAACACACCCTGGGGAGCCTATGAGTTTCATCAGTAGTAAACTCCCAGGATAGTATTTAAATGATATTTGAGTGGAACTCCCTCCCTTCTCCCTTCCCTCCCCGCCCCCACACTCCGCAGATAATGGAAACAGTCTGTCAGCCTAAGAGCTGACCCAGAGGGGCTTCTTCTATCTTGGTCTCTTCTTTATTCATCACCCTTTTACCTAACCCCATGTTGTCATCAATTATGGGGTGGGGATCCCTCCTTGACTCTAACCTCTGTGGAGGGATCCAGAGCATATCCACCCTTTGGGTAAAAAGATGGAGGGTCATTCTATTCCCCTCCCCTGATTCCAAGATTTTGGCTTAGAATCAGCTCCCATTCTGACCCTCCATTTCAAGCAGAGCTCAGAAAAACAGCAGACAGTAGCAATAGGCAGCTGGTTTCTCCTAGAAACACAGAACAGAGGGGGAGGGGTGGGAGGATGGGCAGCAGTGGAGGAGGAGACACTGCACAGAGGGGAAGGAAAAGCTCTGTAAAAGGTAATGGGAAATGCCCCTTTAAGGGGAGAAGTGCAGCATCAATGCTGAGAAGAAAAAAAGCAAACCCTTCCTCAGTGTTTGTGTGTGTGTGTGTGTGTGTGTGTGTGTGTGTGT